CAAAATAACAATTTTAAGGAGAGATGATGGACATGTGATGATTGCTATTCCTGAGTGTGTGTCTGCATGTGTGTGCGTGGAAAGTGAGAGTACTTGAGTGCTTTCCACTCATTCACACACCCACCCATTCACAACCACCGTCACTTTCCAAGCACACGCACACACACACACACACACGGACATGCACACTCACGAACATCAATTATCACAAGTCCATCATCTCTCCTTTGAATCTGATTTCCGTCGCAGATATTTGTCTCCTGTTCCCACCTGTTTTGAAATAACAATAATATATTCCTATCGCAATATGTAGTACTGCCTTGTCTGTCAATGGAGGCTCCTTTCCTATCTCATGTTTACAAGTATACAGCCGGTCTCTAGAAGCTTGGAGTGTTGCTCTGAGTTCGGCATATATAAACTTTAATCCAATAAATCCACTTTGCTCCCTGAAAAGGTATTCGTCCTTTTTCGTAAATAGTATATTAAAAAATCAATTAGTTTGGGAACCATTCAGAATGATTGATTGGTTTGCTTCGACGACGATACTCGACGTATGTGCTGACAGATGGAATACGTTTCAACCGACGGATATTAGTTTCCCCGGAATGTACAAAATACACACATTGTAAAAAGTCAAGAGAAAATTTGAATTTATAGGTCGAAGTGAAAAATTGTTTCAGGTTTGAAAAGTGCTCGGTCAAAGTCAAAGTTTCATCATGAGAAATACTCACTAGAGGGTGATTTTCCTGTCTCATAGGTTTTCGCAAAACTGGATCGATTTGCGGTCCACAGAATGACGAGGAGTATCAAAATTTATCCTTGTTTCGTACACTGTTAGGAATGTTGAAATTTAAGACGTCCAATTTTCATCCAGTTTTTTTTCCTTGAAACAATCAACTGTGGGCGTGTAGTGGTAGAGAATTTCAAATAGTGCACACTCTGGGGGAAAATGAATGACGCTAGCATTCTAGTCGACATTTTTGAGCACGTATTTGAACGAGTGTCTCGTGATGTGAGTTTTGGGCTAAAAGGCAATAAATGAACGACATAGGTGATTGGGGTTCTGCGTTATTTGATACATGAAAATCAAGTCCCCTCGATTTCGGTGATGCTGGGTGGAATTGAAGGGATCGTTTGATTGTTATGGTGTAAAATGGCCATGGACATTCGAATGAGTACGGCGTTTTGACACTCAACTGATGCATTTTCATCGATGTTATATCTACAGATTGTTTTAAACTGGAACCGTTGTAGGAAAACAGAGTAACGAACAAGCTCCTTTGAGATACTTCTTCTACTGACTAATAGATCACAATTTATATCAAAGTGTTTAGAAGGAGGAGGGGCATGGCAGCACCACATACGACGAAGCTATCCCTCTCACCCAAACACAATCACCCGAACCAGTGCGCAAATGTGAGGACCAAACAGTGAGCAATATCCGGTCATAGAACTATACTTTGCAACTTCAAGTGAATCCAACCAATCACATTCCACTGGGAGCCCCAGAAGATTTTTGGTGTTTCGGCCGTCAAACGACACCGATTGGACTGGGTCTGCCTAAAACCCGAAAACAAACAAAAGTACTTTTTGAGTGAGTTACCGAGCGAGGATGAAATTTCGATGAGGGTGAGGGTGGGTCATTCTCCCCCGCCCCCCGCCCCCCACACACGCACCCGTTCCACTCGGGAACGTTATGTTCGTGATCGTTGATCGAGTATGCATCATAGATACGAATGAACGAACCCATAGTTAATTGGCCTCTGTCGGTTGAGTAAGGAAATGAATCACGTCAGGATGGATCGAAGTAGGCCCTCTATAGGCAGTGTTTTCCAGAGCACGTGCTGACTAAAGGCAAATCAATGCAGGCAGTTCGTACACTGGTAAACCAAACGATCATTCAAAACCTGCAGACTAGGTTGGGCAAGTCAACATTTTGCATTTCGTTGTATGCACCCCAACGAAATGGTAGAAGCTATCAAACACTGAATTTTATCCCAGTTTAGCCAAAGTAATCAACAGAAGTTGGATTTATTTTCAATTTGGATGAAGTTGTCATCTGTGTTCCAGGTGGCGGACAGACTAACTGCAGTAGCCACCCCCATCATCTTAGGCATGGTAATTATCTCGCCAAGTGAGCACCTCCATGTCAGAAATATGTAAGCAATCGCAGTTTATTCAGAGGAATGGGTTTTATTCAAGAGAAACTTCGCCAAAATGGAATTTACTTATTGGGTTATTGAGGGCTTAGACTGACTCCACTCATGCAATGAATGAATCATGCTCACATTCACGTCTGAGGATAGCGATTGACTTATCGATCGATCTTGACGTGATTCGCTTCCTTACCCTCCGAGTTCGTTCATTCGTATCTATAACGCAAAATCGATCACCGATCACGAACGTAACGTTCGCGGGTGGAACGGGTGTGCAGGGGATGAGGCGGGGGGAACGACTTACCTCACCTCACGGAAACTTTCATCCCCGCTCGGTAACTCACTCAAAATGTACCTTTGTTTGCTTTCGGACTGGATGTGATTTAGACAGACCCGGTCCAATCGGTGACATTTGACGGCCGAAACACCAATAATATTGTGGGGTTTTCAATGGAGGGCGATTGGTTTGATTCACTTGAAGTTGCGAAGGTATAGAATGTTTATTATTTCTTTTAAATCTGCCCTGATTTCTCTCCGCTTCTTAACAGTTTGATATATCATATCATCTTTGCACTGTTGGCTTTATAACCTCTTGGAGGAGTTTGTTCATTCTCGTTCAATACTCACTCACTGAAACGTGAAAGGTTTAGTGTTTCCGGGCGGGGGGTGCATTCACGCATCCTCACCACTGTGGCTTTATAGACCCAGCCGTGTTCGTGGTTTGCGATAATATTGGGTCATTTAAATCCACTGATTCTGTGCGAATGGCGACAAATAATTAACATAAAACGGAGAGAAAAAAGTTACCGTTTTATGGAGTTCTCAGTGAGACTCGATTGTATGGCACATTTGAAGCTAGGGGAAATTAGACTGAAACTATTGCGGTTTGACTCGAAATTTAAATCATAATGTGTGGAATTAGCCCTATTCAAATATATTTGATTCGATCAGCTGGGGATCGTGTGTGATGATCAGCTCTATTGGCTGATCAAAAACAGAAGCGAATAGCCGATTCCACGATGTTTTTTTAGTTTGTTGTATCAACTTGCAAGCCTTTCGTTGCAAAAACGCCTACTAGCTTCACCGCACCCATGTGGCAGGGGCATTCCGTTGTTCCGCTTCATTTCCACATTGCCTTTTACGGTATCCCATCCCTGACAACATTCTCAATTGATACGATACTTCCTACACCCGGAGAAAACATTTTCCGTATACTCAGCTGGTTTAGCGTGCGCTGTACGAAGACGTAGGCGGCATCGATGCTTCGGTACGAATCCGGCCTCAGCATATGACTTCTATCTGCCAAACAGCGTTTTGAATAACATGAGTTTGAACAGGCAAGTCAGAAGATAAACACTGCGAAAGGAATTCCTTTCGTGTACTCTCATCGTTCACATACGTATAACATCGATCAAGATAGACAAATGAAGCGAATTAATAAATCTAGTTAGTATTAACCATGTGTGCGTATGTGTGTATTGAAGTACAGCTGAACGGGGCAATCAAGGAACATTTTTCTACAAAAGATACGTGGATGATGTGCTCGACATCTTGAATCACCCTCACGATATGGCTATATTGCTGGATGAATTCAACGAAGCACATCCCGACTTGAAATTCACCTGTGAAGTGGAGAAGGCAAATTCATTAGCTTTCCTTGATGTCCTAATAACCCGTAAAAGTGATGGTTGTATCCAACGCTCTATCTTGCGAAAGAAGACTTGGTCCGGGCAGTACCTTCAGTTCAACAGTTTCTCACCAATAAAACACAAGAGAGCCCTGGTTCGAACGTTGTTCCACAGAGCGAGAAAAATATGTACAAAGGACACAATACTAAGTGAGCAGGAGAATATCTATATCGCATTATGGGTGAATGGTTATCCCTAATCTTTTGTTCGTATTCATAGTTAGACAGGAAACCGGACTCAAGCCACTACCCTTCGAGTGCCAAGAAAGAATGTCCACATTTTGCTACCATACAAAGGGGATTCAATAATGCAGCTTATCACACAACGAATCAAAAACGCTTTAGAAACAACCTACTACGCTGCCGCATCATGACTCCATCCGATCACACGACGCCTCCCTCTCCTCCCATTCAAAGATCGTCGTCCAGTCGAATCTAACTCTCATTGCATTTACGCCTTCTGTTGCAGCTACAACGAAGCATACATTGGTAGAACCGACCGATCACTGCGACCTAGAATGGCTGAACACATCCCCAAGTATGTGTGTGACTCTATGACTCAGCCCACACCACACACTCCGACATCACGCAGACCGACTTCGGCCATCGCACGTCACTTGGTAGAAAGCCGCCATAGGGTAAAACTTACGAACGTGTTCCCGATTTTGTTGCGTCATCGAGACAAACACCGACTAAGGATACTCAAGGCACTATCGATTGCTCACAACAAACCCACACTGTGCATTCAAAAACGTATGACCTTTACCCTTGGCCTTCCCTGGCTGTAACCAATCCCGTGCATCACAAGCAAAATCTAATGAGAATTGGGTGTGATCAGAAGTGTTGATGTTTCGGACCAGTTTATTTTTCAACTTGCCTCATTGTATGATCACATTTTATAATGATCAGTATAACCAATGAATTCGTGAAAATGTTCCCCGTGATTTCAACAGTTGTTATCTAAAGTGGTCCATAACTTTCATTCAGCTATATCCCAGCAGTCCACCCTTTCTGAAGTGAATGAAATACTAACTAATAAAAAGATTATTATATTTGAAATTTTTCAATCAAGGTTACTGCAGTTATTCAATCACACTGTGTAAGTTCAACTATAATAACTATCCACAGTACGCCGATTTACAATAACCATCTCTGACCTCAACCAGTTTTGTACTTCATCGATATCCAATTCCCCGTCACCGTCGTTGTCGTATTTCGCGATCAATTCCTGCACCGATTCTCGCGAGTCTTCACATTCGGTCAGTTGGAGCAGTTCTTCGATGGAGATTTTTTCATTCAAGTCCTTGTCCAACTGTGAGAAAAGTGCCAAAGCAACTTCCTGGTATTCCCTTGGATACGATTCGGGATAAAGAGGAATGTGTGGGAAAATAATCAATAAAGTCAATCAGAATAATTATTTAGCATGATCCTTTACAAACGCAATGTATGTGTGAGTACATTTAAAGGTAATACTGAATTTTCTGTGCAACAATCGGTAAACAACACCTAACTGCTGTTTCCTCTCGGTCGAATCTCATGCCCCCAGTAAGTAATATCTCCATGTCGATTTTTCAACTAAAATCACGCCTCTTCTGGTTGATAATGAGAACCCATATTAACCGATTAATGCATTGTTTGGCCATCAGTTTGAGAGCTATGGTCATTATGGGTAAAATACACACGTCGAGGGATATTCATAGACTAACTACGCTAAAGAATTTGCGAATATCGCAACCTAACTGAATCTGGTGTAGTATGCTAACTGCGGAGCTGTTCCGAATCGATAACCGCTCTGAAAGGAACAATCGATAAACTTAACAAATGGTCGTAAGTTATGACCGCTACTGTCGGTAAACTGTACGAAACGCCTCCTGACAGCATTGAAACACATTTCGTCACATCTGGAAAACGTCAACAAAGGTGGGCAAGTTTCAACTTTAGCAAAACAAATCACGTGTTTTAGGCTTTGCTAATTATCGTCGAACACGAATAGCGTCAACCGGGGGTCTGCAATTGAAATGGTCATAACAGTCACCATCTCGTTCATTCACATGAATTGTTTCGCGGCATACAAAGTGAAACTGGGTGAGTTTGGCTCAAATGTAACACAAATTTAAGCAGAAAGCAATCTATAATGCTTTAGTGTATCCATTGGCCGAATTTATTGAATGAAACCGATAAAAAGGGACATAAATTTCCAAAAGGAAACCACTTATTGACAGGACTTGTCAACTAAACAGAGTGTTATTCTTATACTTGATTACACGCTCATTTTTTAAATAAGCTTCTAAAAGTGCAAATCTTCAGGAAAGTACCAGTTGAAGTTTTACGTTAAGACTAAACTCATAATTATGCAGTCAAATATGTACCCCTCTGAGTGCACATGACTGGTGAAGGTGAATTCCCATCGAGAATAACTTACTGATCACTCAACCACATGACTGCTTGTCAAGACAAATCGGAATGCTGGTTGAAGGGAAATAAATTATTTTCGTTACTCTCAACGGCAAAAAAGAAATCAGTGTGGAACAAACATTTTACAAACGGGTATTAAAAGAAGACAACGGATAGAGAATGCAAACTACCAATATAACCTCTTAAAAAAGGCCACGTACGCAATGGAATTTGGTCACATCCGTTGTGTTGAATAACTGGTGAACTGGTAACTATTTATCTGAATGGTTCAATCAGCAGGAGTTGGTACTCAGTTTACACCAGGAGGCAGTCCCCAGCATGACGTAAAGCATTGATGACGTTCGATTATCCCGTTTGTCCAACCAAACTCCTGCACCAATCACCACGGGGAGCATCATTGTAGGCGTGCTACTTGAAAGTGAACCTAAAGATCGTTGCCGTTTAATTCGGGCGTTTTTAGGCACACCGAAACTAAATTCAAATTTCTGTTTGATATCTCCCGACCGAATTGTGGTCCTTTGTACATTTATTCTACGCAATAGAGCCACACCTTACTGGTATATTGCAGATCACCTCAACTAGGTTCGAGTACCCGAAATCTTGCGTTCAGCATTGCATCCAAGACATCATTGTCGGATATCACACACAAAACCTCATTCCGTGTTCTGAAAGAATAAAGGGCATTTTGGAGGACCAATAGACTAGGTGGTGTGGTGATTCACGTGTTAACTAACGATATATGCTTTACCAGGTAAACATAATAAAGCTGAAACCTGATTATGGATGCATCAATTCAAGTATGACATAAAACACTAGCTATATTTGGTTTCTATAGCACGTTCACTTGTATCCCTGATAAGAGAAAAAAACAGGGTAATCGAAAAATAAGACAACCTGGATATGGAACGAGTTGGAATAAGACAGTCAAATTTTAGAGGCGTTTATTAAAAACAAATTGCTCTCTCTCGCAACCAGCTGGACGTGATGAGTTACCGATGGCAAACATGTAGACCATGCCAGTGTTTGTTATGTGCAATATACCGTCATATTCCCAATGGACTGGCGAAAACGTGCGACTAGCGTAAACGTAACTGTCCATGAATATCATGTGCGATTCATTTGAGTTTGTCAGCCACATTAGGACTGACAAGTTGCTGTTGATTTATGCTTATTTCGTAAAAGCAGTAGTCCGCATTTGTCGTTGTATTTTGGATACATGATAAAATAGAATCGTTTATAAGGTGTAGTGCTCATCGAGTCCAAAAGTTACTGCTGATTACAAGCTGTAATGCTGTAGGAAACTGAAACAGCATGGCACCATCAGTAATAAAAAATGTAAGACAAATGCATGAATATCACGTTCGTCATCTGCCTATTGACCAAGTCTTTTGTAATATTCTCATGAGAGCAACAAGAAGCATCAAGATCACAGGATGTGTTCAGTTCAACCATTTCAAGGTAATCTCATCAGCTGTGTACATACATTCAGATCACGTTTGGTTTGGAGAGTGATAGATTCGTGGACAGGCGACCACACACCGAGAAGAAAAATAATCAATGCGAAGGCCAAAGGTCACTACTTCGAATTGGTTATAGAAGAAGGGAAAAGAATTTGACCATAAGGGTAGCCGCTGAATACGGCTCNCTCGCTAAGGTAGTTGCGTTTACAGTTGAGTTAACGGATCGAGTTCGTGTCCGGCCTCACGCTGTCCTTGTGAATGTCATTGTCCTTCCTTCCCTCCCACTCTGCAGTGATTATGCTTACTGCCTGTATGTCCAATACGGTTCTAATTAGTGCCATTGGCTCTCGCAATGATTAATTCCTATTCCCCGGGGGTGTGCTCGCCTGTCGACGACCGTGTCACTCTCTTAACCAAAGGTTGGTTGTGCTAAGCTAATGAGAATACCACGAAGTAGTTGAATTGAAAACATCCTGTGATCATCACACCGATACGGGCTAGAAGATGCAAGCGATTCTGGAAGAAGGAATCGTCTGTGGTCAAACAGTCTACCAGAAGTCAAAGCTCCGGAAGAACACTGGTACCGGCTGGAGCAAGAATATGAACGCTCGGTTGGCGAAAGCATTTACCGTCCTGGGCAACCTGATCTCACCTAACCTGCTTCTTATTGCTTTCATGAAAACGGTAAACAGAACTGGTGGCATGAAAATTCACTAATGCCCCTTGGGTAATAGGGATTACCATAGAAAATGAAAACTAAATGAGTATCAGTTTCCTTCGATGTAAAGCCTACATTTCGGTTAAGAATATACAAATTGGAGAAGGGTTGAAAAGGATTGAATCCTCGAATCGGTAACAAAGTCTGAGAACAACCTGTTCTTTTTGTTAACTAGAACACGTGCTAAAGAGGTTACCGCAGAGTTACAAAGTATGTTTATTTGAGAGGGAACACAATGGCATTGGGATTTATTTGAAGGATGGAAACAACAGAAAGTTAGATCTGCGTGTAGCAGATGTGTGGTATCGATAAGTATCGTATGTTATAACTTTTTACATGCCATCAAATAACGTTCGCACAGGTTATTTACCAACTCCTACAGTGGGATGAAAGAGATGCGGCTAATGATGGTCAATGCACGTCGAAGCAGTTTACAATCTTTCTTTACGAGATGGGAAACAACGATAGATGAACACTAAGGTAAAACGGGAAAACACACTGGTACACGAAGTTGAAAATATTTGCTCGTTGAATACGAAACTGAAGAAGTTTACGGATGTGAAAAGAAAGTCGTCTAAGCTCACTGACGATGTGCTGAATATGAGAGATCCAGTGAATGTTAGTATCAATAAAAACATTCAGGTATTTAATACAGTTTACTCGTGATATTAGTTCAGAGCCAATCGATACCGGTTCAAATGGGAACAAAGGACGTGATAATGTAAAGAGATAGTCAAAACAGTTGCAAAAATGAAATGTTAGCTGTTAGGACGGAGCTCAAGCAATCCGTCCGATCGCGCACTCTTCCGATTCAGTCCATAAGCACGCTCGCAACGCACCAGACAAGCTGAGCCCGATTGGAACGAATCAGTCAATGCTGTCCTATGAGTGGTTTGTTCTATATATGTGCGTATCGATACCTAAACAAAAACACACGCTAGAACTGCTGTGTCAACCTGCGTTCTCTCTCCGTGTTATCGTTGGTGGTTGAGCAAGAGTCGTTCGTGTCATTCGTGCGTCTAGTCCGAATATAACATCAGCCTCCAAGCGTGTCTCCATGCTGTAATGGGCATGTTCAGTTCAGTTCAGTTCAGTATGCACAGGACGAAATGTGGCTTCCAGCCAATCGAGCGNCAACACTGCGTATTGCCAATTCCAGCGATCGACCGTTGGAGGGTCTAGTTGTCTCTGTCCTCAGTATCCGTTCCCAGCTGGAGTGTTTCTGAAAATAGACAGATGAGACTCAGCGGTCTAGGCCTGGGCCAAGCTGCCATAGGTTAGTATGGATGACCCTGATCCTGACTATTGGCATCCGGAGGAATTGCCACAAAATGTAAAATGTTGGTACCTGTTAGATTCACAGAAAATACCTAACAGAAAGCACCTTTCTCTAGCATACATTCAAATCTGTAACGTCAAACATTACTTCTCAGTAGGCCACTTCTAGGTAGACTGTTCTCCAACACTCATTCAGTGCGGTCTTGAATGCCACTACTGTGCTGCATCTAACCACGTGTTCTGGCAACCTATTCCACAGTGGGGTCACCCTGTTGGTGAAGAATCTTGCCCGGAGTTGCAGCCTACTGTGATGACGCTGGAGTCTAGAGCTATGCCCCCTGTGCCACTTTCTGGGATCGCAGAGAACAGTTCCTCGCTTTTGATGCCTGACATACCGTTCATTATTTTGAATGTTTCACTTAAGTCACCCCTCATGCGTCTGCGTCGAAGGGAAAACAAGTTCAAGTCCTTAAGTCTGTCCTCGTAATCCTTGAGGTTCTGACCACACATCATTCGGGTGACTAGCCGTTGGACTCTTTCCAAGCAATCTAGGTCCTTCTGTAAGTATGGTGCCCATGCCTGGATACAATACTCCAGATTTGGCCGGACGATAGCCGTATGCAACGGGACCAGAACCTGCCGACCTGTGCAGGATATCGTAGTCCTTATCCTAAAGAGTTCGCCCCTAGCCTTATTAGCTGACGCTATGCACTGCCTGGAGGGCTTGAAGTCCCTAGAGACCACCACCCCTAGGTCCTTGTCATGCGTAACCTCCATCAACTGTCCTATCTGATCAGGGATGTCGGCCCTTCTTGCCCCTAGCCGTCGACATTTGGCTAGGTTTAACGGCAGGTCCCACTTATGTGACCAGGATAGTATAGTTTCAATGTATTCGTCCAGGTCTGCGCCGGCCACTTTCACGTCGTCAGCAAACAGATAGCGCGGTTTCCGCAGCCCCGACGGTAGGTCGTTTATGAAGATGAGGAAGATTAATGGGCCCAGAATAGATCCCTGGGGTACGCCACTGATTACATCTGCTGGATCTGTAGTGCACGTGCCAACTCTTACTCTGAAAGTCCTCCGCTGAGAAAGTTATTCACCCAGGTCCTGGCCCTCCCTATGATGTCTATTGTTTGCGTTTTGTGGTCCAATTATCTGTGGTTGACTGAGTGGAAAGCCTTACTGAAGTCCATGTAACAGACTTCCACAGTAAGGCCTTCGTCGAGTCTCCTGGTCTAAGAATAGAAGCAAATTAGTCAGACAGGACTTGCATATCGCAAATCCATGCTGCACCGGTGTTATGATGTTGTGCATCATGCTCGAGAATCTAAAACAGCCGTTCCATCACAGTCTCTCATCTTGTTTCCAGGACATCCACTATAACAGTGACAGTAATAATGAGCACGACGCCCAAGTTTTTAGTGAGATCCCTTCCGTCCATGGATCTCTTGTGAATGAAATTTACTCCCGGAGATGTGATACTAATGACAATATGTTTTACTATTTTTGTCACCCTTTTCATATTGACGTATTGTGATATACCCCTGACATAAATTCTCTTGTTGCGT